GGCAACATAAATATTTTCCAAATCATAACTCTAATATAGACATATACTACTCTTATGGACTTTGCACATTCTAAGAAGGGTCTTTTTTTTTTTTTTTACCAGTACTGAGAAAGTATGCTTTCAACCATTCAGTGAGAAAGACTATTTTATATATGGAGTGCGCTACTCACAAAAAGCCTAATTTGTACATGAAACAGTTGTAGTTGTGCCTAAAGAGGGTTTTTCAATGACAACCGTCACCTAAAAACATGCATAAGTTCCTACACTTAGTGCCACAGGAATGATATATTGCACTGTACTGTGCCCACCTCTGTCTGTCTTGAGGGTGACCAGACTCTTCTCCCATCTGACACCTATGAAGCTTCAGAAGCGTTACCCTTGGGCAACTGTCTAGAATTGAGGATGCCTGAGGGAAAGCTCCCTACAAAACTAATTACAATGTTTATTCCCTAACACTAAGAAGTTCACTGACTCTTCAAATCCTGTACTTGCCCATCATTATTTCCCCATTTGGATAAGGCTGAATTAAAAAGTACTTTGTTAAAGGAAGTAGCCATGGAGGGAGAAAAACCACTGTTCTATAGAAAAAGTTACTCAGTATTTAGAATCTTTTCTGAGCAGAAATGAGAGCCTGAAAGTATCCTTTATTTTAGTTTTAACTCTGTTGTCACTGTAACTAAGGACTCGTGATAAATTACCCCATGGTACCTCTTGGCCATTGTACAAGTAGCCCATTGGGCTTCAACAACAGAGAAATAATCTTAAGGACACTTTTGGATACAGAGGAATACTGCACTTTTTACAAAGGAATACTGTTTTATCTTTCTTATGAACATGTCATAATTTATGCCATTTATGATTATTTTTCACATTATAAGCTTTGTACAGATGACATTCCTTAAGATAAACCTATAGCCATGGAACTTCTGGATCAAAGAGGGCGTGTATCTTCAAGGCTTCTGAGATATATATCAAGTTGCTGTCCAGGATCAACCTTCTAGAACTTCACATTACATCTGAATCAAAATCTAACTTCAGGAGGCCTGAGTATCCACCACTGCAGAAAGCTTGGAGTGATGGTAAGCGGTGTTTCTGGTCTAGGGGGAGCTTTGCAGACAATCACAGGGGGAGGTAGCCATAGCAGTTCAGAATTTTTTTTTTAAATAATATCATTCTTTCTTTTTCTTTTCTCCCTGGTAATAAACTTTATCTTTTAGCAGTTTTAGGTTTATAGAGAAATTGAGCAGAAAGTACATACAATTCCCATACCTCCTCCCACAGATAAACATAGTTTCTCCTATTATTTACATGTTACATTAGTGTGGTACATTTGTTACATTTATAAACCAATACTGATACATCAATATTAACTCAATTTTACATGAGGGTTTCCTCTTTGTGTTGTATAGTTCTGTGGGGTTTTTGCCAAATACATAATATCATATATTCACCATTACAGTATCATAAAGAATAGTTTCATTGCCCTAAAAATCCTCCATGCTCCACCTATTCATCACCCCCCTCCCTTCCTGCCTCCTCCTCTGAAACTCTGGCAACCACTGATTTTTTTCCCCATTACCTCAAACATATATCATTTCTTTATGTTGGAAACATTCAAAATCCTCTCTTCCAGCTAATTGAAACAATACAATAAATTGTTAATCATAACCACACACAGTGCTAAAGAACACTAGATATTATTCCTCCTATGATAAAACTGTTCAAGTAGATCAGTTAGGTGTCTAGCACTCTTGCTATAATAAGCCTTAGTCTTTGGCAAAGCACAGACGTATAGCTGGTTTGTTTATAAAGGCAACTTCTTGGTGAGATGTCAGCACCAATAGATCCTATACCCTTTGGTATCTACCTCCAGCCGGTACTTCTCCCCCTAGAAATGCTCCTGCTTGCTTTCTTGAGCATCTGTTTAACTACAAGAAGTGTGGGAGGTAGAGGGATGCTCTAGGGAAACAAGATATAATCACAGAAGCCTCAAAAGAAAAGTCAGGCGGCTAAAGGAAAAGCAAGCAATAAGACAGCATGTCTCCTAATCACAAATTCACATACATATCTTTCTTTCGGGACTAGTAAGTCATTATTTATAAGGGAGAGCACATAAATGAAACTCTTCGTAGGGCCCATGTTGGTGAAAATTGCAAAGAATTTAATGTATGTATCATAGAAGGCAAAGATATGTCCAAGGTGAGCTCCAGTTGTAAAGATAACATTCTCAGCACTTATAATACAAGATAATCATAAATGTATAAATGTTTTCTTTTGTTTTTCATTAAAAAGTCATAGCACGCTTGAAAGAACAAAGTCTGTAGCTAAATAATACCTGGAATATTAGAGGAAAACTAGTCAAAAAAGGCTTGTTAAAAATGCAGTTATGATTACTGACGTCCTTTCAATTAAATTCTGGATGTTTAAAATGGAAAACATACAGCCTGGGATAAATGTCTATTCCACATCTCAATTTGCGATCTGCTGCATTGGCATGAGTTTTGGTGAAACCTGGTAAAAGAANGCAGACAATCACAGGGGGAGGTAGCCATAGCAGTTCAGAATTTTTTTTTTAAATAATATCATTCTTTCTTTTTCTTTTCTCCCTGGTAATAAACTTTATCTTTTAGCAGTTTTAGGTTTATAGAGAAATTGAGCAGAAAGTACATACAATTCCCATACCTCCTCCCACAGATAAACATAGTTTCTCCTATTATTTACATGTTACATTAGTGTGGTACATTTGTTACATTTATAAACCAATACTGATACATCAATATTAACTCAATTTTACATGAGGGTTTCCTCTTTGTGTTGTATAGTTCTGTGGGGTTTTTGCCAAATACATAATATCATATATTCACCATTACAGTATCATAAAGAATAGTCATATATCCACCATTACAGTATCATAAAGAATAGTTTCACTGCCCTAAAAATCCTCCATGCTCCACCTATTCAACACCCCCTCCCTTCCTGCCTTCTCCCCTGAAACCCTGGCAACCACTGATTTTTTTTTTCCCATTACCTCAAACATATATCATTTCTTTGTTAGAAACATTCAAAATCCTCTCTTCCAGCTAACTGAAACAATACAATAAATTGTTGTTAATCATAACCACACACAGTGCTAAAGAACACTAGATATTATTCCTCCTATGATAAAACTGTTCAAGTAGATCAGTTAGGTTTCTAGCACTCTTGCTATAATAAGCCTTAGTCTTTGGCAAAGCACAGACGTATAGCTGGTTTGTCTATAAAGGCAACTTCTTGATGAGATGTCAGCACCAATAGATCCTATACCCTTTGGTATCTCCCTCCAGCCAGTACTTCTCCCCCTAGAAATGCTCCTGCTTGCTTTCTTGAGCATCTGTTTAACTACAAGAAGTGTGGGAGGTAGAGGGATGCTCTAGGGAAACAAGATATAATCACAGAAGCCTCAAAAGAAAAGTCAGGCAGCTAAAGGAAAAGCAAGCATTAAGATAACATGTCTCCTAATCACAAATTCACGTACATATCTTTCTTTCGGGACTAGTAAGTCATTATTTATTTATAAGGGAGAGCACATAAATGAAACTCTTCCTAGGGCCCATGTTGGTGAAAATTGCAAAGAATTTAATGTACGTATCATAGAAGGCAAAGATATGTCCAAGGTGAGCTCCAGTTGTAAAGATAACATTCTCAG